TTATGTTTTAATAAATTGCATTATCATTATTACTTTGAGAATTACATTCCTCTGCACAATATTTAATACATACCTGTGATAATTAATTCATGTAAAACCAAACGTTTTATTTTGGCGTGTTGCATCTTTTTTTTTAGACCAAAATCTGGCTCAGTGAGATTCATAAAGGCGGAACTTTTAACTTTCCATCAAACACAATTGTACAAACAGGATTTAAGACTTCAAATAAATGAAGAGCTGATATAAATTACATCAATACGACGGCAAAGCCATCTAATTGTCTAAAGGCCTATTCTGACAAACAATAGTATTTACCTTTTTATCCAAGTAACCTTTTCTCTCTGGGTCTGACAGATCCCAGATCTGTAAAGAGAGGAAAAAACTGTAATTTTCCACCAACAGTTCCAGCGCTGCATCTCAAGGCTTTCAGATGTTCAGTGACGTGATTATTTATTCTCACCTGACCCAATGTGCTGTCCGAAAGCCCGGATTTCTTTAAGAACTGAGCGGCTTCTGCAGCGCCCACTTTCCCAGTGTTTCCCGGATCCACCTGCAACAAACACCACAGGCCATCAGAGTGACTTATAATGACAGGAACCATCATCAGCATAAGCCAGTATATTAATATTACACTTCACTGGGGTGACATTGGAAGCACATAATATCAGGGCTTTATTTATTCCATTTTAAATAGCATTGGTAATTCCCTGACATCTCTAAACAGGTTCGTCCCATAAGTCATGTTCAGTGAATTTACCTGTCTGTAGAAGCTCTCATATGCAGGGCTTCCACTTGATAACTGCATAAATAGGAATGAAAATTTAAAAAAAGGACAGTAAAAATATAAATATACATGGGTAAAACTTTACAATAAGGTTCCTATGTGATTAACAAACTACGAAAAATACGTCTAAAGCATATTCATCTTAGTCAGTTTCAACATTTACTAATACAATATTAAATTTGTATCTGTTAACAATATTTATTGGCTCTCAGCTAACAATGAACAGCTGTATCTTAATAACTAACATTGACAAATATACTGTATATACTTACTGTATACTAAATGGCTGATTATTAGTTAATGGATTAACTTATGTTACCTAATAGAACCTTACTCTAAAGAGTTACCAATATCATGAAATACAATTATCAAAAAAATTAATATATATATATATATATATATTTACATTGTGACATTATACATTTTTACAAAAATTAAGTGCATTTCCACTGATTTCCATACAAATGTTAATATTGATTTTGTTTGCAATTTTCATTTTCACACTGATGATTCTCAAAAGATCACAGCCATATGATTTTACAATAAATACCACCATGATGTATAAAGTATGTATGATTATTGTTAATAATATTAATAAATAATAATAATTAATAGTTAATAATATTATTACAGTAATGAGAAGGGCAGGGGCTGCTGTGGGCATCGATGACGAAAACATAGGTTTCTCTCGTTAAAGACAATGTACACAAACGGACTGCTGACATAATACATCGTACAAAATCATAATAATGCTTCTGAACAAAATTCTGAACCATTCACTGACAGGAATCATGTAAAATACACACAACAGTTTCGTAATGGTGCTGCACAAACAGCTGTCGCGACATAAAGAGTCAAAAAGTTGCAAAACAGCGACCTTGAAAGCGCAAATCAGTCAGCAATCAATTATCGGAGATTATTAAAACACATAACGAGGCAAAACTGAAAACATAACTACGAAATATTCGCTAACAACAATCGATAATGCGCCTGTTTCACAGGAGAGCCCAACAACTTCCGTACTTTTACGCCTAAACAAGACGTAACAGCATTTTCTACAACCCAGAGACCATGATCTATATAAATCCTCTGAAAATGTATTTTACAGTTTAGTTGTGATTAAACTTTTAAAGTCATTACCTGACTGAGCGCCGCCATGTTTCCTGATTCACGCGCATGCGCACAGGACTCCTTCAAACGTGAAATTTTATGTTTTATTTATTTATTTATTTAGTCATTTAGCAGACGCTTTTATCCAAAGCGACTTACAAATGAGGACAACAGAAGCGATCAATTGTAGTATTAAGACAACTAAAAACAGATCCAAAACTAAAAGCTAAACTACTACTTATACACATTTTAAAAATAAAGAAATTAAATAAAAATGACAAATGCTTACAAAAAATAAAGCTAAAAACAATTCAAAATATTAAAGAACAAAAGGTATAAGAGTATAATAATGACTAAGCCAAACACCAAAAAAAAAAAAACTACATTAAAATCATTGAAATCATTAAAGATTCATTAAAGATAGTATCTTTGGTATGACACAGAGGTGGTTTGTTTCTCTAAATTAATTTCACTTAAGTTATTTTAACTTGTTAGCGTGTTCTTAAGTCTTAGGCCTACTAAATTAAGCTGTTCTGAGACGATTGTGGACAAATATGTCCATATCTGATTGTGGACACCGTTCATAATTATCTATGTTATTAATCTAAAATGCAAAACCAGGAAAAAAAGCATGCAAAACATAATGCAGAACAGAAAATATCTAGAAAATAATTCGTTTTAAATGATATATTTAAAACAGTGTTATGGGAGAATGTGTGATAGGCCTAAGTTTACTGTAGTAAAGAAAAGAAAAGGAAAAATCAGTAGGCCTACATGTATCTGAAGCTCCTCTTGAGAAAGTTTACTCAGTCAGTATTGTGCTGTAAAATGTCTCCATCTTGTGTACCAGATTTGTAAATGCATGACATATAGTAAAACTGATGTGATAGGAATTAAGAATGGGACTCAAAGGACTATGTTAATCAGCTTTCCATTATAGAAAACATATATGGTGAAGATAATGCAAGCAGCTACCAGAAACAACCTAAACATGTCTTACTTGACCACTTTTGTGCAGTTCAAATTATGAAAAAAATGATTGAATAAAGTCTGTGGAATATCTTTAGTGAGATTTACACAAATCATAGTCTATATACAGCTATCCTGCACTGCTTCAAATCTTCTTACAGATGGCTTGAGACTGGAAAACTTTCAGTTTAATTTTACTTTAAATTTAACTTTTCAGTTTAATTTTTAATTTTACTTTAATTTTGGGACCAGCTTTCGTGTTGCATATACAAATTATTACTCAAAATATTTACCAAATCTACAGAAAAAGATGATTAACAAACATTCTAGAGAAATGATGAATACATGAAAGTGTATGGGAAATGTGTAATGTGTAAACATGGACAAATGTTCAGATATCTTCATCTATTCTTTTAGTGTAAACAACTAACTTGAATTATATCAGTATAAATAAATAATATAAAGTTCTGAGTATGAAACCATAATGTGCTCAAAAACTCAAAATATTACAACTGCAAGTACAATAAAGTTATTTATTAAAACTTTGGTATTAATTACAACTCTCAACATGTAAAAAGGTGGTTTAATGTCACTAAACAGGAGTTTCAGTACCAATTTGAGCATTTGGGACTTAGTTCACAGTGTGTAGACAACTAGTTTATTTTTTAATGAGGCCTTAAAATCTTTGCAAATATTACCACATCCCTTATTGTTGCTATTGTTGTTTATATATATATAAACAATTCTGAAATAATCTGAAAGGTAAAACTCAAACTGCAAGACTTTTGTAAATAAATAGAGCTGGAAAAAGAAAGGAATTTGACTGAATATCTTGTTTAGGAGCACACATACTGCGGTAACAGAAAACTACTAAATCATTAGTGCCAAAGGAACATTATGCCAATTGTGAATTTCTTTTGCACTACAGTACAAACATTCATCGGTCCTCGTTGATGAAATAAAAGCCGAATGAATTTGTGTAAATCGCTGTAAGTTTTCCTGCAACAATTTACACAAAAAATGATTTTGTTCTGCTGGCGTTTCAGAAACGAGGACTATACTTTGAATAGTTGAATAGTTTGAACATTTCTGCAATGTGGAGAAACAACTATGCAAGCTGTGAACTGTGTAGCATCCCATTCCATACTATTTATGGAAGTCCGTTTCCACTATGGAAAAAAACAAAAATGTAATTGTAACTTTGTCACAGTTCAGACTTTGTTTTTCCTCAGAATTGCGAGATATAAACCCAGTATTCTGACTTTTTCCCTTGCAATTCTGAGACTTTTTGTTTCTGCTACAGAATAAAAAAAAAATATGTAAATGTCTTTCTCACAATTTTGAGGGTTTTTTTTCCGAATTACGAGTTTATATCTCATAGTTCTTACTTTATATTTCACAATTTTCACTTTGTCTCAAAATTTTGAGTATATATTTCACAATTCTGACTTTTTTCTCAATATTTTGAGTTTAAATCTCACAATTCAGACTTTTTTCTCAGTATCATGAGTTTGTATCTTGCAGTTTTGAGTTTATCTCTCATAATTCTTACTTTATATCTTGCCACTTTGAGTTTAAAGCTCATAATTCAGACTTTTTTTCTCAGTTTATATCTTGCAATTTTGAGATTATATCTTACAATTCTTACTTTCTTCTCAGGATTGCAAGACAAAAAGTCCAAATTGTGAGATATAAACGCAGAATTGCGAGATAAATTTTCTTTTTCTTTTTGTATTCAGAGGTGAAAACGGGCTTTCATAACTATAATTCAAGAAAACTTCATGAATTTCGTCTAGTTCCTTCAAACTACCTGAACATAACTGACACCAACAACATGAACTAATATGGGCATCGATTTTACAAACAAGAAAGGCACAATAAACTGATCATAGATCAGCATTAAAAGATGTCAAACATATCAGACCCCTGGTACTGTACAGAAAACTTCAATAACAAAAAACTGGCTCGTTAAAGGTCAATGGTCGCAAATTAAAGGTATGGGTTGAGAACTTCCATTCGCCCGTTTGCCCCTGTATGACATCATCATGACATCATCGCCGTCTCAAAGGGTGTGGCGTTTAGAATGTATGCACTGCGGTCGTTTCCCTGGCAACCACGGAATGTGGACCGTAATCTACTTCCTGCGTTACAGTTCGTCTTTAGGAAGCGCATCGTCGTCTCCCTCCTCCGGAGGCTCTTCTGTCTCTTCCTCCTCGCCTTCATCTTCCTCCTCCTCCTCCTCATCGCCTGCTTCTGTGCTCTGCTCCTTGTTCTTCTCCTCCTCCTCTTTGCGTTTCTTCTCATCCTGTTCCTCCTTCATTTTCTTCTCAGGACCCTGTGACAACACAGACAATTTCAAATGTATCTTTATCGCTTATGAAAGTATTCAACATGCTAAAATCAAACTCTTTCACTGTAATTTTGTGTCTCGTACCTTTGTAGCACCCCATGTTTCATTTCCGAAATCCTCGGCTTCCTTCACGTCATCTGTGATTAGGAAGTTGTCAAAAATAGTGCCGGATTTTACCTGGAGAGACAAAACAGAAACAGAAACATGTTGGTGTCTGCTGTGTTTCTCACAGTGAACTGAATTTGATAGAGGGAGAAAAGCGCCTCTTAGTGGTTTAATGTGCAAACACTGTGTAAAGTGTGATGAGAAACCTCACAAACTCTGACAAATTAGCAGTTCTAAAATAGATTTCCTCTTTCTAAACTCACTATTGTGTATGCAACCACATACCAGGGTTATTATAATTAACTAAAACTAAACTAAAACCATTAAAAAAAAAAAAAGTTAAAAATATTTCTCATTTTTTATTTAGCTTAACTTGATGTACTAAAATAAACTAAAACAGAAAAAAAATGAATAAAACATTAATAAATAATTAAATAAAACATAGGCATGCTGTAATAAAAAAAAAAAAAGAAAAAGAATAAAAATGCTAAAAACACAAAACAAAATTCCTAAAACCTTAACTAAAATTTAAATTAAAAAAATCTGAAAATAAAAAGTAATTCAAAATATTAATAAAAAACTACTTGCTTATAATAATAATAATAATATATTATTTATTATAATAATAATAATAATAATAAATACTGAATTTATTTTTTTAATTTTTCCATTTTAATTTTAATTTTATTTAAAGTTTCAGTATTATTATTCAGTAGTAATTATTTTACTGATATTTAGTAATTCCTCTGAAATGGCTTAAAGGCGTGAGAGGAACCATCATTTCAATCAAATCATTGCAGAAAAATAGACTTGATGTTTAAAGCAAGAATTAAAATTCAATAAAAATGAACTGGCCTAATAAAAAGCACATTACGACCAACGCAATATTCACAACACTGTGAATATACTGTAAATATTTAGTAAATCATGGACAGAGCAAATGCATGCCATGAATACTACCACATGCATTGCTGAATTTCATTATTTTTGACATTTTTATACTGCTTCCTGCACTGAAAAAAATGATATGAAATTTTTTTTAAGGCAAGTGGTTGCAAACTTTTTATTTTAGCTACATTAAAAAAAAAAAAAAGCATGCTAAAACTTAGTCATCTAAATTTGTTTATTTAAATGTAGCTAAAATAAATTGATTGCAACCACATACCTTAAAAAATTTAGTAAATTCAATGCATCATTTTTTTCAGTGTGGGGTGCACTACCTTGTACTCTGGGTTTGGGATCATGGCAGGTTCCCACTCTCCGTCCATATCTTCATCCCAGTCGTCTGGCTTCTTGGCATCAGGATCGGGAATGTTCTCAGGCTTATCCCAGTCCTGGCAACATTACACAGTCAGAGTTAAAAGTTGAAAGTGACCCAGCTCTGCCTCGCAGGTGATATGAGACCGAATCAAACCTCAGGTTTGGTGTCCGTCTCGTCGTCGATCTTGGCGCGGTCGTCCCAGTCCTCAGGTTTCTTGGCTTCGGGGTCCTTGATCTTCTTCGGGGGCAGGAAGTCCCAGTCCTCCTCCAGAGAGCCAGACTCCACCTTCTCGTTGTCAATCTTCACCTCGTACGTCTGATCCGGATTCAGGATCAGTGTGTACAAGTGAGTCAGTTCATCATCCTGCATGGAGAGAAAAAGAGATTTAATTTAGACAGCTTGTTCTAAAATGTCAATTTCATTCTATGACAATTATTTTACAGATACTCTCAACCCCTTTTGGCAAAAAAAAAAAAAAACAATTTCTGGCTAAAATATATTTGAAATAAATGCTAAATTTATGTTGTAAACAGTGAAACTCAACAAAATATATTTTTGAAACTGACAATATATTTACTTTCAACCTTCATTTGCCAAAATACATTTCCGGGGCAAGAAATTACATTTCCAATCTTGCAGTAGCCTACATTTTGGCTTTATTCATTGCTTAATTTTATTCAAACATGTTGTATCTTCACATATAGACAAAAAATGTTTTTCTTCAAATGTGACATATGTGAATGGAGGGCAAAATAAATGTTTAAATGCTTTTTAAAAATATATTTACACTTTTAAAATATATATATATTTTCAAAAATAAAATGCCCAAAAATATATTGGTAGGAAATTTTAGTATATTTTGAAAAGATTTTATTTTGGGCCATATGGAAATCATCCCAGCATGCATTTATCACATGCATTTATCAGTATTTTCAAAGTCATCATTCACTTTTATTTCATGGAAAATATTCCAGATATTCTGCTAGTAACGATGAGCACATGATTAGATGACACGGTTTCCATTTTTGGCTGAACTATTCTTTGTTTTGTTTTTAGAAAGTGTTTTACACGTTACAGTTCATTTCAAAGCAGCTTCACATTTATAAACAGGAAAATAGCTGTTAATTATTAAATTATGAAACAAATTCCATTTCAGCTGTAAAAGCAACTCTACATAAAGCAATAGTTTCTTTATTCAGATCAATTTAGTAGGGCTGGACCAGAATATTCGATTATTCGAATATTCGTTCGGTGGGTTGGCATTCGATTTTCAATTTTGAGATTCGAATATTCTTTCTTTTTGAACCTAGCATCCCCCGCGAAACGGTTCTCATTCTCTAGTTTCGAAACGAAATTCAAAAGCGCCTGTTTGGCAGTATTTTGGAATATGAAAAGCCTGTTGACTTTTGCCGTTTATCTAAGGTGATTTTGGAAGTTTTTTTAAACATTCGTTTCTTATTTAATTGGTTCCACAGTGTTTGCTGATTTTTACTTTATTTAAACTTTGTGTAATTTATTTCTTTTATTTGACATCAAGGTGTATGCCGTGCCTCCAATCTTTCTTACTCGTTTTGCTAATAAACGTTCTACGTTTCTTATTTATTTGGTTATATATTATAGGCTACATATTTACTTATTTCCAGTTTTGTATACCTATTTAAACTCTATGTAAGTTATTTGTTATTTTATATTAAGCATAGCCTGCCCTATAGCATGGTGTATTTTTATTCATTTTGTTAATAAAAGTTCTATGTTTTATATATAGGTTAAAGTGAGTTTGACGTTGTATTTTGTTGTTGCTTTCAAGCAATTGACGCCGAATTGACACTAATTTGAAAGTGAAAGTAAAATGCGCATTTTATTTAAAAGCGAAGGAAAGCGAGGAAAAGAGGGAAAATTCAAACGAACTAAAAACGAACAATTGCTTTACGCCAAATTGCCGCTATTTGAAAGTGAAAGTAAAATGTGCATGCCGGGAAAATTTCCTCACCGTCACAACCCTATTCTCGACATAATTAAAATACAAACAGACAGACAGACACGCAGAGATTCCTGCCTTTATTAGAGAGAAGAATATGTTCAGCCCCCTCCCTCCGAAGTTTCGAATATTCAGTGTTGATTACTACCGAAGCTTTGAAGCTCAAAAAATGGTATTCGGACCAGCCCTACAATTTAGTTCAACGTAGATTCAATTCAGTTCAATAATGTCAAAGCTTTATCATTATCAGCTCAATTCAGATCAAATTTTGTTCTCGTCCGACTGTCTCAGTGCATTAAATCGATATTATTACTGAATATTGTCTTTTAAAACCCTGGATTGAATTAGACTTTTTAACAGGAACTCACCTTGCATTTGATCTCTTTCTTGATGAGGTGATTCTTGCCTTTGTAGTTGAAGATGACGTGGACCTTCTTGGTGCTATAGCCGCAGATATCAGGCCCTGTTGAGATGATTCAGACACGAAAATATAAATAAATGACTCCTTTCCTATAATAAATCCAGGCGTTACGGTCGACGTACCAAACATGACGTAATACTGGGAGTCTCCGTGCATGTCAGCCTGGTTGAGATCAGCCGGGAAGACTTTAACGTATCCGCCTCCGCAGTCGATCTTCTGCTCGTGTTTGACGGTGAACTGGATCACCAGAGGTTTGCCCTCGTTGCTGAAGGGCTCGAAGCGGCCTGAGGTGGCATAGAAACGGGCATCCTGGCTGCTCTGCAGACCTGTTGGTGAAGAAAAGTCAAGCAAACTCATCATTTGCTTCTTTACTGAACCAAAGGTAAAGTTTTTAGGTAGGGCTGGGCGATATAGCTAAAAAATGTATCAACGATATAATGTTTCATATCGTTCGGTATCGATAATTATTGACATTTTTTATAACCTTTTTTAAAACAAAGAGCAATAGAAAAAAATGTTTACATTTAACCACTGTATTTTTAAATTAACTCAATTTATTGAGACAAACAACAATTTTTTGTTTTAACAGTCAAACACAAAATAAAAATTAAACAAATATCTCATTTCTAATGTTTTTTATGCAGATTAAATGGGTTAAACTTTTGGCTTGTTTCCCGAGGCCACAGGAGGGCGCAATGAGCAAAATAATGCAGCACATTAAATTGTCAAATAACTGTCTATGAAAAAACGTGCATTACGTCTAAATTAACTCAAATATAAATCAAATATAATTTCGTAATTTGCATAAACAATTATGAACAAAACAGCATCACGTATTTATGCACTGCTTAATCCAAAGAGCCGAAGCACCGATCACACAGATTGCCTTTAAAAATATATGAGATGCAGTGAAAGGGAATAAACCTCCACAAATTCATGACGTGTTTTCTAAAAGTTTAAACTGTTTTAACATTGCATGGTTTTCTATACATCTCTTCTGTGAGACGAAAGTGCAGCTCCACTGATGACACTCCCTGACGCACACCTAACATTTCATTGTACTATTTTTGCATTCAAATACAAATGTTTATTTTATATTCGACTAATATTCTTTTTTTTTTTTTATTATTCACAATCTCCTCATCACAGGCAGGCACAGCCCTCATGTTTGTGTTTGCGTGTGCTGTCTGCGTCACTCATAGCATTTATATCGTTATCGAGGAAGGTGTACCGTCGATAAATATCGATACCGTTTTATCACCCAGGCCTATTTTTAGGGATGTAAAAGCCTACCCTTGTCTTTCTCAGCATCTCCGTAGAAGTTTCCGGCGGTTAGTTTAAACTGGCCATAGTCAGATTTGTGCTCCGAGTTCACCCATCGACTCTTCCAGGCATCTGCGAATTCAGATAATAAAGTTAGAAGAGAAGAAATAAGGCTAAAACAATATCAGAGAATGTAACTGCGAACAAGGATGAGATGAAAACAGGATTAGTATCCTAAAAAGGGACATTACATGCAAATACACAAGTTGTTTCAAAGCAGTTTCACATTTAAAAACAGGAAAATAAGAGTGTTTATGTTGTAAAATTCAACTATTATGAAACAAATTCAATTTTAGCTGTAAAGCAGCTCTACAGAAGACAATAATGTCATTATTCAGATCAATTTAGATTCGATTCAGTTCAATAACAGTGTCTATGTTGCAAAGTAAATCAGTTATGAAACAAACCAGGGTTATTACTGTTAACTAAAATTAAAACCATTTAAAAAACACTTTGATTACTTGAAATAAAATGTATGTTAACTGAAATTAAATAAAATGTGATTACCTTCCTAAAAAGGAAATTTATTTATATTTATTTATTTATTTATATATATATTTTTTTTTTATTGGCATAATTGTGTTTATATAAAGTATTGCCAAAACTTTACAACAAAACAAGAAATGACAAGAAAACTAAATATACCATTTAATAATAACAAATGACAATAACAATTATATTAAAACGAGGTGCTAAATAATGAGTAAAAATAATAATTACATTTCTATTGAAAAAGACATCATAAAAAACACTATATAAATATTTATGTCATCACCAGCTAACTTACTAACTCAAACTGTACAAGAGTGCAATTATAAATCTTTATCTATGAACTTGAAGAGGAAACGAGAAGAGTTTATGAGGGTTGCAGGTTTAATCACATTCCACACACGTTTAATAATTGATATTTAAGGAAGTTTGTGGAATAACTTAAGAAACTTCCTGTTCTTGCAAACCCATTTGATAGACACGTGCTAATTCAAGTTTTGCTTTCATTTGCATTATCAAAATGTATTCGCTGATATGTTTGATCAAAAATTTAGTTTAAACACATATACCTAAACACATCTTGTGCAAATAACAAACCAATTAGACAAGGCCTTAAATGATGACTTATAAGATGCAGTGGGCACATGACATTTAATCAGTATACTGTGGTGTGGTGTGACATTCCATAAAACTATTTAAACAGCCAATAGAATTGAGTTTACATCACAGCCGTGAAACATGATTTGATACTTTCTTTTGCTGTCATGGGTCTCAAGGGGCGTGGCTTTCTCGTTCAACAGAGCATTTTATTGGACAAATATTTGGACACGCCCCTCGGTGCAAGAAGAGTCATCAGAACCTTTGGTCCCAGAATAGAAGTTTCAACTCGTTAAATTCTATATTTTGTCAACTTGTAGGAGTACACAAGCATACATAACCTAACATTTGTGACCTAAATGTTTGATTTTATGTTTTTAAAAGTTAATGAATGTCAACAACCCATGTGCCATAATGCACTTCTTCAGTACTGTAACATTCATTGTGCAATGCAAAGAAAGAAAGAAAGAAAGAAAGAAAGAAAGAAAGAAAGGAAGAATAATTTTTGATGGGTTTCATTTTTGCTCTGGCAAACTAATATGCGTAAACCAATACTGCTAAGTAATAAAATTTACTTTCCAAACATAACAAAAGTATAATTAACCATCACAGCCTATTAATTATTCAGTCGAGAACCGATTTTAATGTCACTTTGAATGTTGTGACCTATAAATCAACCATGGCATGCAAGTTCAATGATCCACTCACCTCCATCCAGAAACTGCTCTTTAAAATACACCTCTGCATTGGCAGCCAGTGCCAATATTGAGGCAGAAACAAGCTGGAATAATGTAATAATTTGCATTTTTGTTAATTTGAGGAATTAACCCGCACACTCCCTCCGTCCCTCTCGCGCTCTGCTGCTCTCGGTTTATCAGTGGCTCGGGAGAAGCTTGTGGCTGCACAGATGTCTGCCGCTGATTGGTCCACAGCTGACGCTCTCGACCAATCACAAGAGACCACGAAGTGCCTGGCTCGCCTCTACACCGGATACTGTATCCGCCTCTTTTGCTGTTCTCAGACCAGCCGTTACTGTACGCAATGACCCGCGGTCGCGTCACATGACAAGACAAAACTGACTCAGGATCAGTTTCCAGGGTAACATCAGAGGGAAGGCCGGTTGAGTGAGATTTTCACAGAGAGACGTGTACGCGGAAAACGGTGCTTACACAAATACGGGGTTTTGTTTCCCTCTAAATACATACATTTCCAGTCATTCCTACAATAAAAGTTGTTGCAGGGCTGTCATGCATTTGATTTGTTTTCAGAGCAGCTATATTGCTAGGAAACAAACTTCATTAATGAACTTAGAGACACTTGATAAGGAAGTATATAGGCCTACATATTTAAGCTGCAATGAATAAGCTGATTCTTTTACATTTACACCCTTTCAGGAACATAACAATAAAAATGATAATATTTACAGGTAGTTTATTACATTTTTGTGGCTTAACATCCCTATAGGTCAAACGAGCAGTGTGGACATTCTGCTAATCTTCTTATTTTATGGTCCACAGAAAAAGACAATCATACAAGCTTTTAAGCGAGATGAGGGTAAGTAAATGATTTTTTTTTTACTTTTCATTTTTAATCTAACCCTTTAAAAGTAATTATTACCTGTCGAATCATAGCCTACTTGTGGCGGCATCAGTTTCACATTATTTATGAATTATGTGAACGGTCACAAAATCGCCTTGTATTGCAATGATTAGCCCATAAAGCATGCACAGATGCACACTGCAAAAATATCTCAATAATATAAAGCAATGCAATAATGCAATTTAGACTTGCATTAAATTCCCAGTGGGTAAAATCAACTCCCAGTCCTTACATGTTCACACACTGAATATCCTGTTTCACTCTAAAATACTGTCACGTTACAAAAGATAAATGGTTTGCAAATGCTGTTAGAGTTTATTTAGTGGGGACTCATGCATATTGGACAATTGCGTTGTTAGTGCAGTTCAATTGAGCAGTTGTAGATGGCGCTGTGACTCTATTTTTTGTACATGCTTGTACATTCATGGTTTAGTGATTATGTGTTAACCAACCAATGTTGAACTGCAGCCTATTTTTCTAGATAGATTAATTACAAATTTTTGCCTAAACTAAATCAAGGCTAAATTAATGACAGATATCCATGCTATTTTTCTTGAGAGTTGCATGTTTGCAATACATACGATTGTTTTGCATTTTAAATCCAATTTGAAGTCTGAAGTCAGAAAGAAATTTAATATATTTTAGCTTCCGGTTCACATTGGAAATAGGAGGTCAAGTTCACTGCAGTGCATTATTTCACTCTGTGTTTGTTGTGAATATACTAAATTCTTTGGCAGATGAAGTAGGCTAGTCTGGGTTTTCCATGCATGTACAAAGTTAGCACACAATGCATTTCATGCATACACACTGCATACTGCAAAAATAGTGCGAGTAATATGGCAACATGTGATTTCAAACATGTCTTCACAAGCCACAAAAAAGGGAAAACAATGGTCAAGCACGTTCTCGCTCCCCCTCCTGTCGCCATGCCAAACCGTCTCATTATGGCATGTGAAGAGGACATAGAAGAGCTGTAGATATCAAACCCGATTAATTCCGCTTGCTTCCCTTATTATTTGCACCGTAGAGCATGTTCCACTAATCAGAGAGTTAACTACATCCCAAGTTCCAGATCCCTGCACAGCGTGAGGACCGAAAAACACACACAATCAATTCATTATTATCAGACCCTTGCCCGAGCCAGGAAAATAAAGCACTCATTTAGCAGTGAACCACAGTCAGTGTTGCAGTTTTTGTGGTCTGTGCAAAGAGATCTTAACAGTTTTCAGCTCTACCTGAGGAAGACGGATATGTTTTTTTCACATTAGCCAATGCCAATATTTAGACTCTAATTATTGGCATTGGCTAATGTGAAAAAAACATATCCGTCTTATATGGCCACCTTAAATTTTAGAGAATAGGGTGGCCGATATTCACTGCAAGAAAATTATTTTCTTACTCATTATTTTTGTCTTGTTTTCCAGTACAAATATCTAAACATTGTTAAATCAAGATGCATTTACTTGAGAAGCGAAATGATTCAAGATTGTATTGTTTTCTGAAAGAAAGAAAAAATCAAAATTAAGTGAGTTTAAACTTAAAACAAAAAATATCTGTCAATCTGTACAGTTCAAAGAGAGAACAAGATTATTTTTCTTACCCTTTGACAGATATTTTTCTTGTTTTAAGAATAAAACTACTTCATTTTGAAAAAATAAAATAAAATAGGAAAATAAAATGTCTGTATAATTCAAATGGAAAACAAAATTATTTTTCTTACACCATTGACAGATATTGTTCTTGTTTTAAGCATAAACTCAATTAAATTTGAGAAAATAAAAAAATATCTGTCAATCTGTGCAATTCAAAGGGAAAACAAAATATTGTTTCACCTCATTGACAGATTTTATCTAATTTAATTATAAATTCACTTAATTTTGAAAAAGTAAAAAAATAAAATGTATCTGTCAATTTGTATAACTCAAATAAAAAAAAATATATATATTTGTTTTTCTTACCCTATTTTACTTTTTTTGCGTTGTTCTGTTTTGTTTTAAGCATAAACTCACTTAATTTAGATTTTTATTTATTTATTTTTGAAACCCAGGTTTATTTATTTGTAATGGAAAACAAGACAAAAATACTATGTAAGAAAAGCAGTGTTTGCTGATAATATTCCAAGACACTAGACTTTTGATTTCTGCTACACAGATAATTCGATAAATGGGTGGAAAACAACCATTGTTTTTTGACAACTGTACTGTACTTAGCAGAACACCCTAGCGACCCTATTTTTGTTCATTCTGGACTTGCATGTCAGATAAATAATTTGAGTTTCATTTTAGTCACCTGTCGCTTATTTTTAACTAAAGCTAAATTTCTTTAATTAAACTTCTACAGCATCCATGTAGAATCCCTGAACTGACGTCATCTGTCAAAATGAGCACCGGTCAGCCTCTTGACCTCTGACCTTTAGTTCACGTTCGTCAGTCGACACTCGTCACAGGTCATGTAATAGGGCGCATTGACAGCCAGTTTAACCACATCACAAAAAGATTCATTTTACAGTATAACTAAAATAAAACTAACATTGGCATGTGTTCACTACATAATTCCCGTACTTCCATTTTATTATTCTGTGTTTCAAAATATGATGCTTGAGAGGAAATAGATGATGTAAATGTATTTATTCTACATGGCATTAATGTATTATGTAATTTGATTTAGGAGGACCGTATGTTTGTGTGTGTATTTTGTGTCACTGAAGCATGGAAACCAGCAGCAGAACATGGGGCAATTAGGCCGGATCGTAGGGGTGAAGAGCCGCCCCCCTTGCTCTGTCCCCTGCGGAGGGCTGATGGACAGCCGGCTCACCTTCTTAACAGGCTGGCTTGGTGCCGTTAACCTGCAAGGGCAGGTGAGGACAAGCCACTACACCCACAACCTAGTCAGGGCCACTGAACACGCTCACTAATGAGGGAGAAAACTCTTTCAGTCCCTTGTTGAGCTCAGTGCTCAGAGCTCAGTTTCATGTGTGATATTTAAACAAACAGTTCATCTAAAAATCTAATTTTGCTGAAAATGTGCTCACCATCCGGCAGTCCAAACTATATATGAGTTTGTTTCTTCATCAGATTTGTAGAAATGTAGCATTGCATCACTTGCTCACCAATGGATCCTCTTGCAGTGAATGGGTGCCGTCAGAATGAGAGCAATAATGCACAAGTAATCCATGCCACTCCAGTCCATCAATTAACATCTTGTGAAGCCAAAAGCTGCGTGTTTGTAAGAAACAAATTCATCATTAAGGCGTTTTTTAACTTTAAACCATCACTTCTGGCCAAAACACGAGTCAGTAATCCAGTGATAAAGCCCATCTCCTGCTGTCTCTCACATCAAAATCCACCCACATAATTGTTTATAGTTGTTTTGGACTGTTAACTTGTCCCTTTTAAACTTGCACTCTATTCATTTACTAACTGCTTGTTTTTCTTTAAAAAAAAAAAACTAACACCTAACACTTGCTTTCTAATCTTTTTGTATTCTATCTGTTTTCTTTACGAGTCAGTAATCCAGTGATAAAGCCCATCTCCTGCTGTCTCTCACATCAAAATCCACCCACATAATTGTTTATAGTTGTTTTGGACTGTTAACTTGTCCCTTTTAAACTTGCACTCTATTCATTTACTAACTGCTTGTTTTTCTTTAAAAAAAAAAAACTAACACTAGCTTTTCTAATCTTTTTGTATTCTATCTATCTATTTTTCTTTTTATTTATTATATGATTTAAAAAATAAAACTTGCTACGTGTACTGTGTTAAGCTAACTGAGACTTGTTATAGCACTTGCATATCATTGCTCTTTTGTTTGCTTCCATTGTCCTCATTTGTAAGTTGCTTTGGAGAAAAGCGTCTGCTAAATGACTAAATGTAAATGATGCTTGATCTGTGCAGACTTCGTTCCTGATTCAGACTAAATTACTTTTCACAGGAGAAAGCAATATTATGGATAGCAGACTCATATTTTAGCCAAAGCAACAGCTTGAAGTTAAAAAAAGTCTTCATTATTATTTATTTGTGGATTACTTGTGGATTATTGTGATGTTTTCATCAGATGTTTGGACTCTCATTCTGACGGCACCCATTCACTGCAGAGGGTCCATTGGTGAGCAAGTGATCTAATTCTCCAAATCTGATGAAGAAACAAACTCATCTACATCTTGGATGGCCTGAGGGTGAGCACATTTTCAGCACATTTTCATTTGTGGGTGAACTGTTCCTTATAGATTAAAAAATTCTTGTTTAAAAAAGTATTTAATCAGATGTTCTTAAACACTGCTCAAATGATGTCAGTAATATGATTTATCATTTGGGCATTGCGTTATATTTTTAATTTTGACAGTGTTGCAATGGATTAATATTAAAAATCTCATACATGATTGCTATTTCCTTTTCTTTTAGTTATAGTTTACCTAAAATAACTAAATTGTTGCATTTGAGCATGTGATTTACAATATTATGTGAGCAATGAGAGAATATTTTACAATATTTGATTTATCATTTGAATTTTGTTAGTAATATTAAATTATATTTTTGACCAAAACTAGTTAATTTGCACATGTAGTACTTTGACAAAACATTTTCACATAGTGTTTAGATATAAACTTACATTTAATTACATTTAATTAACATTTTGAATGAGCTCCCTGTTAGTGCCATATCTTTATATTAACTATAAAAGATAACCAGTCATGTATTTTAATCATTCATCTTTATTCCAATTGTTAGTGCAAAAAATTCAACAACTTTATCTCAAAAAAAAATCTAAAGACATATTTAATAACATTCAAATGTCCCACCCCAAAAACACTGTAACAAACATAAAGACAATTTATATGCATGCAATGATAAAGCTGCAACAATTGTGACAGAAACCACTCCTATGAGATCTAAGTGTACACATCTTTAAAGAAAATACTATCTTTTTGGCTTCATCACAGTTCACAAAAATTCATAAACCGTGCTTTAATAAGAACTCTATTTTATTAATAATGCTCTTGAATACACGCCTACAAAATAAACAAAATGTCAAACATACTGTAGAATCAATAATGTTTTTGCATCCAAGTTCAAGCTTTTTTTTGTGCCATTTGCATCATCACAGTGCATAAAAAATGTGTATAATGGATCATGATATGTATTTTTTTCCCTCTTTGCATAGTTACAGAGTCCACAAAGTATTCAACTTATCATGATACCATCGGTTAGAACTGAAAAGGAATATGATAAGACAGTTTGTTTCTCAAATCGATTGGAAGGACAGCGTTTGCACATTTAAATGACGTGCAGCAGTTCTGACACCTGGCTGGGACGCCCGTTAGTTCAGAGCAGAGGGGCGATCGATAACCTTAAACAATGAAGAGTCCCGGCGGGGAGCCGCTTATTCTGCGTCCTCACACACACACACACACCTGCTACGACAGCGACACAATCCACTAACAACCTCACAAAGCTTCTATGCTGATGACAAGTCCGAAAAAAGCAGTACTGAGAAATCAAATCACTGCTTAGACAGTATTTGTAAATGTCATTCTGCAATCATTTTTTCAATCATTTTTGCTCAATTAATTCTAATAAGCTGGTGTTTTGGTGCTTTTTAGTCGTCATTTTTTCTAGATCTCTTGTTTTATCACTTGTTTTTGTCAAATGTTTTGCTGGAAAGGTGTGCTCAACTCTCTTTATTTAACATAAATGTCAGTTGCTTTGATATTTTCTCATCTAATGCAATGACATTCATTTTTAGTGTGACTTCTGTCCAAAATACTATTCGAATGCATTGCAAATGCTTCTGCTAAGCACTTGTGGATGTCATACATTCCCTGTTATTCTTTTTTTTTTTGTACTTCCTTCGTTTCAGGATCTCTTAACACCCCTTAATGTGAACAGTGCCAAAACAACAAAGGCTCTGACCGCTGGACCAAATTACCATTCAGTATGTTTGTTGGCTGCGGATGTGTGATTTGGGGTAAGCTGTGACACTTTGATTTAAATGCTGAAGATATTTTCAATTTCATAATACTAATACTTCATCTTTAATTAAGACATCAAATTATGCAAAGTGAAAATCAACTTCCATTTCTGGGAAGAGTCTGAAAAATGTGAAGTGCCCAGGTCATATTTCAGCCCAAAAGCAAAAGAAATGTACAAAAAAGCATTAAATATTTTTTATATAAATAATTATTTAATATTAATAATGCTCTTAATATTTAATAGCATTTCATTCAAATTGTAGTACTCCTTGAATTTAATTTAAGATTATTTAATATGATTGGAAGACTGTAATGTGGTAATGTGAAAAAATTTATTATGTAAACATATTTTATTTAATATTAATAATACTTTTGATATTTAATAATTATAATATATATATATATATATATATATATATATATATATTACAGTAATGAGAATTTTGGGTCAAAAATACATAATAAAATTGGCTTAATTTTCTTTGTGCAAATATATAATTTCTTATACTGTCCTCTTGTTTTTGGGGTGAAATATAACAGACTTTCTTCATAAAATTCACCTTTTGAGACATTTGACCATCAGTGCTTGAAACAGACCCCACAGACACTGAAACGTTAAACCTCAGACTCATTTTATATGATTATATGATCATGTTGAATGGCAAACAGGACTGTGACACGGGTGAAATATGTGCGATTATATTAGAAACAGTCTTCACACCATGGCTTGATAATGCAGCTACTCATTTAAAGTTACAATTCAAAAGTCATTCTGTATCTAGGTTTAAGTTTATTTGATCAAAGTCATTTCTTTTAAATCAAAGTCAAGTGATTCTTCAAATAATTTCTCATGTCTAGATGGTAGAACATGAATGTAGCCTCTGAACAGGCATTGAGGTATCAGTTGTGCTAAGCTGCGCTGTCCTGTTAAATTGCCAACGGGCCAAACTTGCTATTGCGAGTCTTCAACCTGGAGGAGCAGAGAAGCTTGGCACCGACTGAAACCCAGAATCCTACGGAGCTCGACATTTGCGGGTAAGAAGTAAGAAACAGCTTACTGTAGATACCACGATCCCAAACAGTCTGTGCTTTGTTGTCATGGTTGCCAGGTCTGCACAAAAAATACAGCCCAATTGCTATTCTAATTGCATTCTGGGGTGGAAGAGATCGCTTTAACCTGTGGACTAAAAACAACCCGCGACAACAGTGTAGAAGTAGCCCCATTCCGTGGAAAAAACTGCAGACTTGGCAACCCAAAATGAAACCAAGGCACCAAGCAGGTTTGACCATCGGCGTAAATCCAAGCATTAGTTGTGTTATGAAAATATTCTCAAAGGTCCTTCAAATCAAACTGTGTTTTGTCTTATTGGCCAGAAGCTATAAAATGAGAACAAGCTTTCAATACTTCACGTTTCCAGATCTTGCCAATGGCATTCGGGTGAACCCTAATCCTAATGTTGCGATGCTGGTCGCATTTTTAAAAATGCATCCAAATGTCTATGAGAACCCAATAAAATACTATAACGCTCCCCATTTTCCCATTACATGGGTTGCCAGGTTTTGTCCATGGATTGAATGTGCTCCTTGGCCTTCATCCTCAAAGCTGCGATGCTAGAGCCGCTGCGGTCCACGTCTTCCAGTGGGTATTTGTCATTAAATGCTGGAGGACACTGGTAAGGAGGTGGTGGCATGGGTTGCATTCCCTGCACCATGCCTGGAGAAGTGTTCAGGAAGCCAGGGTGGCCCGTATAGGTGGGCTGGAGGCTTTGGCCGGGTCCCATGAAGCCCGGGATGCTGTGCATGGGAGTGGCACTGGAGAGCGGTGAGGACAACCAGGGATCCAGAGGAAGAGAGTTAGTCATTGGCCCTACGTTGGGCGCCATGGCCGGTCGGTTGAAGGACAGCATAGGCGAGTCATGGAGCTTCATGCTTCCCATGTCCATTTTTTCTTGTCGCCGCCATTTTGCACGCCGATTCTGGAACCAAACCTGTACAATAGGACAAAGTCAAGAACTGTTTAGACTCAACCTCGTAATGTTGACTGGCACAGAAACTTCGACTATGAGGTGAGTGTGCTGGAGAGTTTAAAAGCACAAATGAATGAACTTGAATGAACTTTATAGTGAAAATGTTTGTTGTTTGAGATACTTTTCTAGGTCACTGAGCTTCCTGTACCAACATACTACTACTTATAGATGGAGCTTGCCAAGAGTTGGATGCCTTTCTGGTATCCTTGCTTGGACATTATGCAAAAGTTACAAGGTTGCACGGTTTTGACATAGTGTAAGTTGAATGACTGAATGTAACTTTGCACAAACAACATTGGTAAGTGATTATACCAGTCTCATGCTAACATACATTAAAATGTTATTGTTGTACTTTTAAAACAAGTGTTATTTACCCATTTATGCACAACGTGTTTTACAATTTCCTCATAGACTTCCTGTAATGAAAATATGTGTGTTTCCCTGCTTCCCACAGTACAAGATACTAACAGGGACTAGAAATGAAGAAAATGGCAGAAAATGAAGATGAACCAGGAGAGAGAGAGATGTGCCAAAATTCATGGGATATTCTGGGTGAGAGCAAAATAAAAAAAGAAAGATCCCTCAACAAAGAAAGAGTTCGCGTAAAAAGCTCTTGCCACATAAGCTCTTATTATGTCAGTGTCACATTAAAAATATCAAGTGTTACTGTATTTTACTGATGGAAAATGTCTAACCAAGCCTGTCAAAGTGATGGATAATTAATTGTAGTGCATGTTCTAGTCATGAGATCTAGGCATTCACAACCTGTAATGTGGCATATTTCTGAGCAAAATTTAATTTATCTGTTTGTTTTTTTTTGTTTGTTTGTTTGTTTTTTGTTTTGTTTTTAAAGTTGGCATTACATATCAGAATATTCCTAACCCTCAATCAGTGTTGGGAAGGTTACTTTGGATATGTAACAGGTTACAGATTACAAGTTACCCTATTTAAAATGTAATAAGTAGTGTAACTATTTCAAATACTTTATTAAAGTAATGTAATTGATTACATTTGAGTCATTTTTGATTACTTTTATAAATTTCTAACGAATGTTTTCAACTGTTAATCATTTTTAAACATTTAAAGCAGACAGGGTTAACCTTACAGTAGTGCTCGACACTGATTACTGTCAGTCTTTCAAAATCCTTCATCACTTGAATTAAGATTATAATCATTTTAAAGCACAACACCACAAAATCAGATTTTAGCACCTCTTTTTACTACGATTTAAAATCATAACAAGAAATAGTTTGATAGCTATGATATTGTTTTTGAATTCAAATCTTTGCTCTGACAGGAAACACTGGCATCTAACAATTACTTGGAAAAAAATTAAGCATACACATAAACCCAAATAGGAAATAAAACAGTTATCGAATAAGCATGTGGTAATCACTAAGATTTTCATAAGAGACTGTAATTTAATTACAAATGATTTCTTAGTAACTGTAAAAGATTATAGTTACATTTATTTTGTAATTAAATTACATAATGCTGTTACATGTAACTATAGTTACTCCTCAACACTGCCCTCGGTTTCAGTAACGTCGGATTGAAATCCACCCATCATTCCCTTCTTTACAGGTTTAACAGATGTAGCTTTATCAGTTTAACGAACCAGGTTCTCTTCACTGAATCAAAACCCCCTTGTTAAACAGCTTCACCTTGTAATGCCCTATCAACATAAGTCCATAACAAATAACCCCAATGTCAAGGTTGTAATGGAATACAATTACATTGATCACTGCGTCTATCTAATACCATTAAGTGACCCAGCTTGTATCACCCAAAGCTCACCTGAACGCGAACTTCTGGGAGGTTGACTTTCATAGCCAGCTCTTCTCGACTGTACACATCTGGGTAGTGGGATTTCTCAAAAGCGCGCTCCAGCTCGTGTAACTGATAGGTGGTGAAGGTGGTTCTGTTGCGTCTGTGTTTCTTTTTAGGTTGATCCTCATCAGGAGCGTCCGGTGAGCGACTGTCGCTCTCCACATTGCTCCGTGGATCTCCCAAATCTGCGTCGCACTTCTCTGTGGAGTAAAGTCCAGTATCTACAGCACAGGGTAAACGGAGTGCTCTTTATTTGCCAGGTACTCTTATAAAGTTCATTAACGAATTAATGGGTTGCTAATGGGTTTTAATCTGCTTTTATGTAGTTGCTAGGGTGGTTGCTGGGATATTTGCTTGGGTGTTGCTACGAAATTGCTTGAGTTTTTTTGGGTAGTTGCTGTTATGACCAAAATCTCACGATATGAGAATAACGATATGTATCACGATATAGCTATTTTTATTTTATGTTGTTTTATTTCTGTTATTAAAAACACGAACAAAGAAGCAAATTACAAACACAATAGAACAAAAATAAAAATTAAATAAACTTACGTTTTTTCAGCTACTACAGTAGGTTTATTTAACGTACTCTATTAAAAAATACATACTACAGAAATTGAATAATGAAGTGTAACTAAAATACTGCATAGTCACTCACTGTGTGAATCACATATGAATTGATTCTTAGTAAAGATCCAAAAGTAATTAAATCAAGAGCAGTGAGTGATTTTCTCTTTGTCTTTTATTGTTTGATTAACATTAATGACAGACAGCAGCAGGTAAATAAGACAGCTGGCCCTTTAAGACCGTCTCCAATATACTGAAACACATCCGGTTTTCACCCAACTTGTTTACATTTATTTAACACATAACTGACTGTGTTTACGTGAATACTCCACATGACGGGCATTTTGACATAATTGTGTATGTATTTGACAATTGAAGTGCAATAAGACGCAAAAGAGATCTGAATTCGCAATCGCATGCTGTCTGAGAGAGACAGATAACTCTGTTTAACATCACACACATCCCACTCTTTATTTTCTCATTCTTTATCACTTTTAGGTGCATATAAGTTTTTATGAAGTACTGTGCTACTCTGATATATTTATGATAGACGCTTTAAATTTAAATCTGTGTGATTTTTTTTTGCCTGTTTTATTATTCAACAGGTAAACAAAAATGGTGCATCTGATCACTTATAAAGTAACAGCAGAGTTCTCCTCAACAAGACACATTATTTGTGGAATCAAACGTGGGATAAGGTACATTTTAAAGTTAAAACGTGGAGCCTTAAAGGGATAGATCACCCAAAAATGAAATTCTTTCATCATGTATTTATCTGATCTGCTGATCACAAAAGAAAACATTTTGATGAGTGTTGAGAAAAAAACAGTCGACGGTACCCATTGACTTCCATAGTATGGAAAAAACAGTATGGAAGTCAATGGCTACCATCAATTGTTTCGTAGCCAACATTCTTCAAAATATTTTATTTTGTGTTCAACAGAAGAAAGAAACTCATACCGGTTTGGAACAACGTGATTAAATGATGGCAGAATTTTCATTTTTGGATGAACTATCCCTTTAAAAGCACCATTAATAAAACTACTTACATGTTCTTTTGCCTTTACCAAATGGTGCAGTGATGGAGTCAGATGTTAACCTTTCGATTTTATGAATTCCTAGAAAACTAAAGATTTGGGAGTTCCATCACTTCTCTCATGGTACGTAAATCCTCCCAGTAATCCAGCACGCAGATGTCACCGGTTAAACCTGTAGACCTCATGTGGCCAAGACTGCTAATCCAGCCATTAAGAGGTTCACTCAATACTGCAGCGTTTCGCCCAAGAGTGGCCAAGCAGCCTGACAACACAACAGCAGAGATTTTCATTTCGCAGAAACGGCTAAGAGCAAACCGCGCCACATGTTGAGGTGAGGTTGAATCTAATTAAGACAGGCAAGATTAGAATAAAACCACTAGTTCGATGTTAGCAAGTATTAAACGTCATGCTGTACACAACTTTCATAAACTAGATACACCAGCTGCAGTGACACTGATGTCTACAGGTTTAATTAGAGCTGTAGTTTGTAAGCTTGTTTCATTATTTGTTATTAGGCCTGTGAAACTCTAACTCAATTGTGAGTTTATATCACGCGATTTTGACTTCATTTCTCACAATTGCAAGTTTCTATCTCACAATTCTAAGAAAATAAGTCAGATGTAAACTCGCATTTGGGAGAAAAAAGTCAGAATTGTGAGATAAAAAGTCGCAATTACCTTTTTATTTTTTTTTATTCAGTGGCGGAAACAGGCTTCCATAGAAATCTGAACAAATCTAACCTAAGCACTACATTTTGGTGTAAATTTCATCTCTTACAGTATGAGTGAGTCTTCAAATCAAGTGTCTTGTTTGAGAAAGGTGTGCTGTTAAATTAAAGGCCTGAGGTGGAAAACCCCACAGACTTACACTGAAGGAGATTCAGGAGCCAAATCTAGAGACCGGAAGCTCATGCAGGACAGTAGAATCCTCTATAACGCTTTTTTGCATGTGCAAATGCATCATTAATTATTGTATACAGTGCATTTTGCATTGTAAAGAACTTTTTGCATTGAGCCACTCAGATATTTTTTGTGCAAGTAGTGTCTTTATGTGTGACATTCTTTTTACTTTCTATAAAATGAGATGTGATTTAGTAAACCTGTCGATTCTCACCGTGATACACAGCTGACTGCTGTGAATTATCCGGAAGACTTTGCAGGTGGCCGTAGGGGTCAGAGGTCACTTGTTTCTCCTCTTCTCCCAGATCTGCTCTGTCCACTTTGTGTGTGCCGACAGGCCCGACCGGGTTGAGCAGAGGATCCTGGTCTTTACTGTAGCCCAGAATCACGTCGATGCTGTGCACGCGGCCTCCCATCCCCGAAGCGCCGCCTTTACCCAGATCATGGTAGTTGTCCGTTGAGAGGCAGCCATCATCCACCATGTCCATCGTATCCAGTGACAAATGCATCCAATCTGCCCTTACGGTAAGTCTCCTCAAGGAAACGTGTCTGGTCGAATCTGGTTCCAGTTTGTGGCAGAGATTCCCTTTCAAAGATCTGTTCAAGAAAAGCAGGGGTTAATAAGACTTTAAAGACATCAAAAAGGGGTTAATATTTTTTACTTTTTGTCATGGTCAGTGCAACAGCATTTGACAAAATCAGGTAAAGCACAGTCGTATTTACGGTCAAAAGTTGCTACTGCTTGTGATATTGGTCATACTTTATTTGTTTTTGTGTTTTATAATGTAAAAATAATTGGATATTGTTTGTATGTTTGTTATGGTTTAACATATGTGAGCCTGGAGCACAAAACCAGTCACTGGGGTATATTTGTAGCAATAGCCAAAAATACATTGATGTATGAATCTCAATTTTGAAAAATTTACCCTTATGACTGGTTTTGTGGTCCAGGGTCACATATTATGGTTTCATGTTTTGGAAATGCAATAAAAAGAAAAAATCATATTTTAATATAATATAATATAATATAATATAATATAATATAATATAATATAATGTTTTATGAAATGAGATCTCCTTCATATTTCATCAAATGTTTTGAGCTGCTCTCCACATTCATTTTATTGCTATATATTGGATGGCAACTATTTGTGTTACCATAAAGTCTGCATTAAGAGCAGTGCTGACAGTATCTGTTCCTTTTTATGTATTTTTCGATTATTTGAAAATGTAAAAAAATGTATTTAATTAAATCTAAATAATTTAATTCATTATAATTGTACAAAATTAAAAAGGTTTTAAAATAATAATTACATTTTTTTGTAAGAATGAACAAATATGATATATTAAATCCATAGCAAAGAAAAAATCACAAATTATTTTTTGTATTTTCTACAAATTATAAAAATAATGCATTTAGTTATCCAAGTATTAATATTCTGCTCAAATCAGTTATATATTCCTACAACATTTAGTATGACGACTGTTTTCTCCAAAAAACATTGCATTTGACAAGTTAAGCTTGATAAAGCAGCGGTTCTGGCCTTTTATAGTTTACATGCTTCATTATTTTCACTAAAAGACAACTAAGACACATAGTTTGGATGCTTTATTCTCCTGCATTGATTGTTACTGAATTATATACATGGAATATGACAGAAACTCATTGTGCATGAGGTCAGTTGTCTTTACATGTTCTCAACTGTCATTTTCATCCCTTTTGCCTGTCTAAAGCATCTTAACACAGCAACTGTACTGACAGTGAATCCTTATTTCAGGCCTGTGTTTGCACATTTTTTTCTGAGAGTTTTACTAATTGAATTTCTGTTTCAATTTGAGTCAGTTGGAAATCACACTTTAAAGTAAAAGCGTTAATAAAGTTAAGTAATTCTTTGCAATCAACCAAAAGCATGTATCATGTTAAAATGTATATGCATTATAAATACAATTACAGATTAATGTCTTATTTGTTTAGTTTCTGTGAAGTAGTGATGTTACTATTAGTTTCTCATTAAATCTAATTTAAATTCCGAGTTTACAAATTAAAAGTAATTTAATTAGGCTCAAATAGAAGACTAAACTTCACAGTTTTTCCATAAATTAAATTTTATCATTTAAAAAATAATAATATAATATGCAATATAATAAACCCATAGGAATCAAATCTATCTATATCTGTCTTGAATGGTGAATTTTGCTTATATTTATCATATTTCATATGTTTGTCCTGAGCAAAAACGCTCTAGTAATCTCACATATCTCTCATCTAGATTCAGAAATGATGCTCAGATTTCAAATCTAGCTCTAGTTTACAAATTAAAAATCACTCAATCAAATAGAAGACAAAACTTTGCACTTTTTTCCATTAATGTCTTAGTTTATGAGAATCATGCAGGCCTGGTCGTAAACCTGTGATGGCACATTCATGAAGTTTTAGAGTTTTCTAGAATCTTACAGATTTCATTTTTTTAAATTTGTGAGCAGTTATGCTATATAATATGTCATATTTTATTTTTCTTCCATTTCGTACGTGTTGAATGTGCATATAGACATCTATTCAACCAATAGATAATTAACTATTGTGCAAACAACCAAAAGTACTGTGTGTTGCATTTTAAAACGTATATGCTTTAAATACACAAATAGAAGTAAATATTAAGTCTTATTCGCCTAGTTTCACCTATTTTAAAGGTAACTAAAATGCAAAGTAAATCTAAATGAATCAAGGAATTTTAAATCAGAAAAATTAAACTCCACACACCTTTTCTTCAAATTTCCGACTCGTCAGAATCACACAGGGTTGTCTTCGCCTCCATGCATCGCCGCAAATGACACACCACAACTTTTTACCCACAGTGCACCTGCTTCAGACAGTAAAACGACCGTTAACGACTATTTTTCGCATCCCAAAAGTGAGCGTAAATTCCGAAGCACTTTAGGATGAAGCCATGCAAACTGGCCTGACGCGCAGAGAGCCGGTGGCGAGAGGAAAAGACTTAAGAGGTTTAATAATTGGAATCCTTCCCCTTTAAGGATGATTGACAGTTGTTCTCTGCCGGGGTAATTGCACTAAACGCTGGCCGTGGTTTGGCCACAGAGGGAGGCCTGCGCTAATGAAGCACCGACAGAATGTCCTTTCAACACTCTTTTGTCTAAATGATAATGGCAACCTACTAAAAGTGTCCTTTAATCCGCAACTTCACAAAGACAACACACCGTGTGTTAAGATGTGCAGCCAAATGCCTTCAGTGCTTCACAAAGATGATCAGCATAAACAGGCGTACAGAGAGTTAGAGTGTTGTATTGCTGATAACACAAACAGGTCATTCTTTAAAATCAGTGTAAGGCATTGAAGTTTTAAAGGAGTCTTATTATAGTTTGCCATGTGCGTGAATTAATGACCTGCTACATCGCTGACAAATAGCATCAAATTCAGTGTAGCAACTAAACAAGTGTCTTTTTTAATATTTAAAAATTTGTAAATATTTTTAAAATGTAATTTATTCCCGTTTCATATTTTTGTTAGTATTGTTAATACTTAGATTCAGCTTTTATTTTTATATTTTCCATTTTTATTTAAAACATTTTAAATTTTAGCAATTCTGTTGTGTTTTTTCTCATTTTTAGTGTGTGTGTGTATATATATATATATATATATATATATTAATTTCAATTTTATTAAAAATAAAATTTGTTTGCTTAGCATATTGAATTATATGAGACCATATACAAACTTTCCAAAAAATTTTCCAAAGCTCTAAATATGAAAAGAGTCATCACTGATGAATTCACTGTTGGTGTTTATTAACTGACTGTATAATAGATTGGCTTTACCTGCTCATAATTACTCTAAATTGACCCCATGTAGCTCATTAAACTCAGAACTGACCTCATCAAACGATGCCACACTTGACCTCAAACTGGCAACAAACTGCTCAGACTCTTTATTAATTGTTTTAAACGTGGCTTCCTCGTGTTATCGTGGCTCCGC